TGAGGGAAAAATACATGATCAATAATAAGTAGCTTTTATCTGTTGCTTCTGAGGACAAAATAAAAGCGAAGTAATTTAAGTTGTGACAAGACAACTAGAAACAAGATAGTCCTAGACTCTGTCACAGCAAGAAAGACTAGAAATAAAGTTCTGTCCACAAAGATGAAGTAAATAAAAAGGTAAAACTGCTGGAGACAGAGAAGATTCAATTCTATTGATCTCTAGAAGAATAGTACAATCATTATATCATTATCATTTATCAACCAATATTAAACGTCTCTTAGCACTTTTATGCCATGTGAATTCATCTTTACCGCCATCCATGGGTGGCATTATATTTTCATTTGTATAGCTGAGAAAATACAGGTTCTGCATGGGCTAAGTAATATGTCCAAGGTCAGAGCATCAACAGGTACTAACTTTGCCACATAAATCCAATTCCTCTGGTTTCAGGACCTACACCCTATATACTATTTTGCCTCTCAGAAGCAGTAATAAATCCTTTTGCAGTTTCCTTTCCTTTATCAGATATGTTTCCGTTTATATTTCACTATTTTTTTTTGCCCAAACAAAATAATGTCATCTTAAAAATGGATTAGAGCAATTAGCTGATTATATTAGCAATCACAGGTACAAGGATTTTCTTTTATCTGGGGAATACTCAAAATAGATAAAAGGGTAGACGGGAAAAAAGGGTGAGAAACATTACGTCCATTTTTCCTAGAGTCTAATAGCTGTAGTGTAGAACAAATATATGAAAAGCCTTCAAAAACTTTTTGTCATGATGAAATTAAAAGATAAATTTATTTTGTTAAAATACTTTTTAAAAATTCATGCATGGTGGGGCTGGTATGTTGGTTCAATTGGCTAATCCTCTGCCTGCACACCAGCATCCCATAGGGGACTCCACTTCTCTTCCTGCTTGTGGCATGGAAAAAGGAGAAGAGGAGGGCCCAAAGCCTTGGAATCCTGCACTCATGTAAGAGAGCTGGAAGAGGCTCCTAGTTCCTGGTTTCACATCTCTCAGCTCTGGTGATTGTGGCCATTTGGGGAGTGAACCAGCAAATGGAAGATCTTTGTCTCCGTCTCTGCTTCTCTGTATAAATCTGCATTTCCAGTAAAAATAAAAATAACTCTTTGAAAAAATAAATTTACACATGGCGTTTTCATAATATACACATTCCATGAACTTTCTGAAGTACTCTCATATCAGATCATACTGTGATAAACAGGTTTGGAAAGCTGTAGGACCTTGTCAATGCATAAATCAAATTAGATTGTAACCGAATCCTGACTGACTCAGGAGGACTGGTACAAATAGATTATCAAAAGCAATGAACATATACTAGTAGTCAGAAGCAGGCTATTCCTTCCAAACAAAAATATTAATTATGTTGTTCTAATGTGGAATAGAGAAAAAAAATAACCAGCATAAGACTCAGGAGTGACTTAGAATAATTCCCTATTGAGCATAAACCAGTGAACTTCTAGTGGATACTGCAGTCAATTAATAATTCAGGAAAAAATATGAAAATCTTTTCTTATTTTAATAATATGTAATTCAAATTATGCTGTTTAGCAATCTTTGAAAGTGAACTTAGTTTGTGTCTACCATGGTGGGGCAAACAAAAGTGGATCAGAGAATGCCTTTGCCAAAAGAGATTCATACAGTGATATGACTGATCAGATACTGACACTATTTAAAAAGAGAGACAAAAGATAATAAGGTGATAATGGTACTGGAGAAACACAAGTTCTGTTCTAAAGTGTTCTAAAAAGAAGGTAGGTTTACATTTACACTTAAGGTGACCTCTGAAGAATACGCTGGATATAGAGGTCCATAAATTAGGTACAAATGTGGGAAGGTGATGAAGAGAGAAAGATTTTCCAGCTGATAGTTATCAAAACGTGACCTGAGGATGAGCTATGTTAGAAACTACGGAGGCTGCATTTGAGCTAGTTACTGAAAGGCTGTCAGAACTTTCACAGGCACGGAATGGTGGACGATAAAGGATTTTCCAGAAAGAGGGAAGATTCACTGCTCTTACCCTACTGTACAAATGCAGGTGTTAACTTAAGCAATCATTTTTTCTTTTCCATACAGTTCTTTATCATAAAATGTCTACCATTCACCACATACTTGATTGCCATATGGTTAGAATTAGCTGCTCTGAATATTCAGAGACTAAAATTGGTTACTTTTGCTTTTCTTTTTTAAAAATTGATTTTATTATTTTATCATATAGTCCAATAGGCTCCGAGATTTCCCTTCTTCCCTCCCCACCACCCCCTACTGATTTCCCCCATATTATTATAATAGTATAGTCCTTCATAAACAGTCATAAGTCCATCATTCTGATATTTAACTGTATCCTGACATTGTAGATATGGACAATGGCAGAGTACTGCATTCTATTAATATAGGTTTCAGACTTTCAATATGTATGTTAATGCACCAAACTCAGATACAAAACCATCATTCCAAGGAGTTCTCAAATCATCTACTTGGTCGTGAGAATAGTTTTTCAAATTGGTGGTCCATAAACAATCATTTTGCATCAGTATGCACAATGAGATCTTTTAAATTAGGATCATTTCAAGGCTCCTGAATCAGAATATCTGCAAAGTGTTGCAAAGTTTTGACTTTCAACACATTTTCCAGGTAATTCTGTAGCACACAAAAGATTGAGAAACACTGAGAGGAGAAGCAGACAGCAAAGGCAGAAAGGCTCAAGAACACAGGAATGTGACTGAAACCAGAGGCCTGTGAATGGAAGAGTCAAAACCTATGGAGGTGAATTGGGGAAGACCATGCAAGGCCTTCTGCATCAGTATCGAGCGGCTGACATATATTGTAGTGAAAACAGAAAGGCATCAATTTCAGGAGTCTGGACTAGCAGGATTCAAATCTTAGTTCCTCAGCTCACTAACTACTTGATCCTGGACAAAATTCTTAACCTCTCTCTGCCTCAGCTTCCTCATAATAACATGGGGATACTAATATTATGCAGCACACAGTGTTGTCATGCGATGAAATTAGTTCATGTATAGAAAGTTTTTACAACTGAAACTAGTTTATAGTAGGTATTGTATGTGCCAGCATAATGTCTTATGTTGAAGAAAGGTATAATGATATTAAGGCTCCCTATTTGGAAGACTAAAAGAGCAGTGGTGCATGAGTCATTTACATGTCCCCCTACAAGAAAGTCTTATAAATTTTCCTCTAACTTGGTACTTTTTAACTTTGCCTGCCCATTGGAATCACCTCCCCCTTCTGGCCTAGGTATAAATCTATAAAGATTAATTCCAATACACGCCCATGCTTGATAGTCAATGCTCTAAACATAAGTTAGATTTGTCTGCTTGTCATTACTGAGTGTTCACTACATCAAGAAATCATCCTTGGTTCTTTTCTTGCATTGTCTCATTTAGAAATCAACAACTATCTTCAAGGCAAGATTGTTAGCAAAATTAAGATCAGCCAACTAGAATGTAGTAGAGTTGACATTGGACCTGAGACAGTCTGGCTCTAGAGGCTCTACTCTAAACCTCTTCTCTGTACCGTGTCAGCAGTCCTCCTACCAGGAAGGTTGCTTCATTATCCTTCTTCCTGGTTGCATTATTGCCTCTCTGCAATTCAATCTAGATACAACATCCATGGAGCTCCTTTAATGCTTCAACTAGATCAAGCTATGCTCTTGCTCACAACCTCCCAATGAAATAAAAACCACAACCCAAACTTCTTCTCATGTTACATAGTGCCTGCATGATCTAACTCCTGTTCATCTCTGTGCCATCATCTTTTGCCAGTTTGAACCATAATATTCCAGCCACTAGGTCCTTCAGTTTCTGGAATGCTCCAAGCTCTTGCCAGCCAGGGGTCTTAGCATTTCTTTTCCCTGGGCCTGGAATGCTCTTCTCCACACTCTGTGTGCATGGTTCCTTTTCAGCATTCAGGTTATGTTTAAATATCAGCCCCTCAGAGAGAATTTCTTGATTATCCAACCTAAATAAACATCTTGTTTTCCATCCTAGTCTTTTATTATTCAACTCATAGAATCTAGATTGTTTATATCTACATATTTATTGGTTGTCTCCTCTGAAAAAAATGTGAATTCTATCAGAGCAAAGGGTATATGTTTTCTTCTACAGACACCATATATGGTTGAGAAGGTTAGATATTGCACAAAAATGCCACAGCTAAAGGAAGAAAGATGTTCCTGGAAAATGTTAGCAAGTCATCCTAAATAATGGGATCCTTTTTGCAATTCTTAAAAAAACTGTATGGTCTATATTTATCAATTCAAAGCTGGTTTATATCACAGGATTGAACATACAGAAGATGTTTTATAATATTATGATACTCCAGTGAGAAATCAAAAAATGGGAGGAATATAGAATACTGTTGATAGATCTGGTAGTTTGAAAAGAAGCAACAAAGGAAGAATTAAATGTGATTAGGTTTGACACTAGGAACCTGAAGGGGGAAAAAACAGAACTGATTCTATTTTGTATATAAAGGGGAAGATGATGTCTTCTATTTTGCTTTTATTGAGTTTGTCACCATTTTATTGTGGGATTTTAAAAAAATGGCTAAATTTAGCCTGTACTCCTTCAAGATGGTCACATCAGTGCTTTGCAGGATCCAATCTTCCTTTTATGGCTGTGAGTGGAAATGGTCTGTGTTTTACGATACAATAATTTAGGGGCAAAGCTTTAAGGGATTAAGGAAGGAGAGATAAAGATATTCACTTCCACATTAGCTGACTCGCACCCATCCTCCCTGCTATATTCCAGCACAGTTTCTTTCAGGCTATGGACCCTTAGAAATCAATGTTATTCTCCCCCCCCCCCCCATTTTGTGAATGATTACACCCAAAATACTAAGGTGACCATAGAAAATCCCCTTTCTCTTGGTCACTGGAGAGGTATTTTCCTTTCTTGTATGTTCTGTTACTCAGGATGGTAGTACTCCAGGCCTGTGAACACAGGACACTTACCTCTGCACACCCGGCAGCAAGAATCTGGAACAGAGACTGGGAACGCACAGGTTAATTTGGGGCAAGTCTTGAGACCACAATACACATTCCCCTCCTGCCAAGGACAAATAGAATTAAGATCAGAACGATCTGGAACACATGTAAAAATCTACTGAGTCCCAGGAATAAAGTAGGTTTGAAACAACATATCCTGCCCAACTTTTCTTCCACAGTTGCTTCTATGTACTTCCGACATTTTATTACACATTGCTTATTGTTCTATTTACTATTTACATCAGAGATTAAGTCACATAAGGGCGAGCAATCCTAGTTGGATATCCAAATCTAAGATGGTACAGACTACTGTATGAGGCTGCCCCAATCTCCGCATCACCAGATTCAGTCTCATTCTTCTGTGCTCACTGAATTCCTTGGTTCTCACTGTGGCTCAGTTGGATATTGGGTATTTAACAAAATAAAGATGTGTACTATAGCCATCATTTGTAACATTCTCTGGGTTTTTTCTTCCAAGCCTGAGTAAAGCCCTCTGGAGTACAGCAAAACTATACAACATGGTCTGAATTTTACAGCTTGGTCTCGCCCAGGGGAAAGGATACTATTTACTTTCTGGTTACATCTGTATTTGCAAATAATCTTAATTTCCCAAAATTATCTTACAAAAATTATTCTTTTTAAGCATTGCTCTGACTTCTTAGAAGCATTTCCTTCTGGAGCTTGAAGGGTTCCTGAAAGACCAATAGGAAAGCAGGCCAAAAACAAATACTCCCAAACACTGATACTATATTTCCACTGAAAACCCTAGAGGGAAGTGATTCTATAAATTCCCCCTGGCCGTGAAGGGTTTAATGCCTCTTGCAGGCAAAACATTTGTTTCTATATTTAACTTCATTCTTTCATACTTCAGTTAAACATTCATTCACTAGATTTTCTATATTCTTTGAACTATGTAATCAAGTAAAGACAAAATGGATATATTTTACTCATGAATCATATGCAGGTATTTTGACAAGAAATGGCACAAGAATCATCATGATTAAACACCTATAAAGAGTTTTCTCACTGCATGACACCGGAAATTATTAATTTGTAGAACTTCTTAGATAAGAACTAACAGACACTTCACATTCTTGTGAATTACATGGAGTGGCCCTAAAGGTGAAAGTAATTTTCCTGTCAGAGCACTCCCAACAATCCAGATAATTTAGTGCTTTGATAAAGGCGTAGGTGTGACTATTACAAAAAGGACTGCAGATCATAAATAATGGCTTATATTTTACTTGTCCTATAGCTTTAAGGCTGGGACATAATGGGTGTTATATATTCAACAGCCTTGTTTAGAGTTGACAATCAGGAGCTTTAGATCAGCTGCAAGGCTTTTGGAACTGATCTTTCATTCAAACATCTTGTATTGTAGGTTCAAACAAAAACTACATATACAGACAGAGGTTTCATATTTGGATAGGGATTAGGAAGGACATTAAAATCAGGGTCTCACCGAACAGCTGCATTGAGTGCACTGATTGGGTTGCCGGTTCTGAAAGAGTCCTTCAGCCATGAACAGCTCTCCGTGTTGGTAAGTGGTCCCATTGTACTCACATGACTTGCTGGTCACCTTGTTGTTCATTGAGGGTAAGGAGTCTTCTGGAACAGGGTGGGGAAAAAGGACAACTACTGGGTCTTGGCATCACTGCAAAGAATTTCATAAATCCCAACAGCAGATGGGGCTGTATTACACAGAGGGAGTTGAGAAAATGTTACATAGAGGGAGGTGAGAGAATCCATCCATTCTCCCACCTGCTGAGCATTCATTGAGCACCTACCATGTGTCAGACACTGTAAGAAGCATTTGCAAGATAGCAGAGAACAAAAACAAGGTCCCAGCTCTGATGGAGGTAATAATCTAGCTATTTTAGGAAATTAACTTGACTGAAGAGGCTGGGCTTATGTTACCCATTATTCTTTTGCCTCTGTCCCTTCAGAAGAGGACCCATCTATTGTAACTCCCCACAAAAGAATACCTTTTACCATGTTTCATATCATTGGTTGCATGTTTGCATTTTGCTGTAGCCTCTGCAACTTCAGCTTATTTGTCACTCCTCCTCCATTATCCCATACCCCCCACTTGTACACATATACCTACTGAAGCCTTATCTGATGAGGGTTCAGCTCATATCCCCTTTCCTCCATGAAGTTTTCTCTAACAACTCCAGCCCATGCTTTTGACCTCTCATGGCATATGATGTCTGAAGCATAGAATTTGACACTTCAATATTACTGGGAATTCATATTTGTGAATTGTGGTACACTACAAATCCATCGTCCTCTATTACAAAGCTATGGATTAGGTAGGGTTGATTCTTTTTTTTTTTTTTTTTTCATTTGAAGGAAACAAGCTACTGGAAGTTAAGTGACTTACAAACTGAAGTCATAAAGCTACTGAGAAGTGAGAATAAGAATCAAAATATAGCCCTCTGATTCTAATTCCCATCTTGTTCCTGCTGACTTATGGGTATGTATTGCTTTTTGAGAAGTAGAACTCCTAAATATCTCTTTGTTCCATGAAATCCAGCACAGGGTTGCTATGTAGAGACCAGGTGAATGGTCTCTAGCAGTCTAGTCACTGGGCTTCATTAACACATATACTGCATGTGTGTATGTACATGTATGCATGTACACACACACCAAAAAAATGAGCAAGTACTAAAATTAAACTAAATATTCTTGAGTGAATTATAGAGAACAACAGAACTAGGAAAATGCCTAACATAAGATAGTAGAATCAGAACATTCAGGACAGTTCTGTGTTTCACGAGGAAAACAAATAAATGTGAGTCCATTTTATGGTAGATAAATTATAGTTCAATATAGAGTGAAATTATGCTCAGGATGTATAAAAATGATAAATCTCATGCATAATAATATCCATGGCAAAATAGTAGCTAACATTTATTGAACCCTAAAGCTTAAGTGTTTTATATACATCATCTCATTGCCTATTACTGATGATGTTCTAACACATACCTTACATTTATGTGCATTTTGCAGATGAGAAACTTAAACTCAAGAAACTAATGATTTCCCAAAATCATGCCACTTTTAAGTGACGCGGATCTGAACTGATATCTGACTCTAGAATCTTCTTTCCCTAACCACTATCTAGAAGGATATCAATAACTTCTGATTTTAACAAGGAAAGGACCATTTAATCTGAACTAAAATCCAAACACCATTGAAATATTTAAGGTATTCTGTACCTCTAGAACACTATACTTTAGAGTACCCAGGAAACAGACATTGCAGATTCTTTGGTTTCATTATTTGAGTAACTAACTCAATGTCACACTTTTATATAATTTGATCTATCCTCAATTTACTGTTTTAAAAAGATGTATTTGAGGGCCCAGCACTGTAGCCTAATGGCTAAAGTCCTCACCTTGCATGTGCCTGGATCTCATATGGGCACCGGTTCTTATCCTAACAGCCACATTTCCCATCCAGCTCCCTGCTTATGGCCTGGGAAACCAGTACAGAATGGCCCAAAGCCTTGGGACCCTGCAGCCATGCAGGAGACCTGGAAGAGACTCTTGGCTCCTAGCTTGAGACTGTCTCAGGTCTGGCCATGGCAGCCACTTGGGGAGTGAACCAGGGGATGGATGATCTTCCTTTCTGTCTCTTCTCTTCTCTGTATATAAAAATAAATAAATCTTAAAAAAAAACTTATTTGAAAAGCACAGCATGAAAGAGTGTGTGTGTTCTTTCAACCACTTGGCCCAGTCCTGGATGGCTGCAGTATCCAGATTTGGGCCAAGTTCAGCCAGGAGTTAGGAACTCTAATCTAGTATCCCCCACAAGGGTATCAGGGACCCAAGGATTTGTAGCATCTTTTGCTGCCTTCCCAGGTGTGTATTATCAGGAAGCATGATCAGAAGAGGAGTAGGTGGAAGTTGAATTGCTACCCCAATACAGGATGCCAGTGTCTCAAGAGGCAGTTTAATGCACTGTACCACAACATCAACTCCTAGCCTCAATGTCTGAGTAACTCATAGCTTGGGTATTAACTAGTTGTTAATGATCCCTTATAACCTATAAAGAAAGTTATTTTATTTTTCCTTTATAAAAAGAAATTTTAGCTCCAAGAAAGAGTTTAATTCAGGCTAATTGTTCCTCTGTGTTGAGTCCCTGCCCTGTGCCCACAAGTGAATACAGCCACATAGCTGCAGCTGGCAACAGTAAGTGAAAGTCATCGGAGAAAGGACAGGAGCAGTGCCATTTGTCCCCTGGGCTTTGCTTTAATAATTCCAAATCTCAACATCTTGTAGTAATGGAAAACTACAATGACCTACAAAATAATATTTTACATGGCTTTTGCATGAGCTGGCAAAACTTTAGAATACAAAAAAATCCCTGTGGAATTATTTTGCCTCCAAAGAATGTAGATTGATTTTTGAACCAGGCCTTTCAGTAAGGAATCAATGAAGGCAATTGGAGGGGGAGGTTTTTCAGTGAAAGAATGACCTTGAAAGCATTCCTTACAATAATATTTTGAGTAATCTGGCATTAGAATTTTTTAATATACTCAACAGGACATGAACAGAAAGCAAGAGATAGGAAGAAAAAGCAGAATCAAAAAAATAATTTCAGTCATGCTTAACACTAGCTTCATGCAACTAAAATATCTTAACAACCCATTTACTCTTATTTATTCTTCCAACATCCTTAATAATGTATAGAGAATAATGAAAATGAGGCTATTGAGGCCCCAAAAGATTTGACTTATGTCACATAGCTACTTTACAGGGGGAGCACCTTGGAAATATGAGGTAATTTTACTGCCTTAAAATTTGTGCTGTTTTCAGTGTTAAAGTTTTAAAGCAGGACCACTGAGCTATAATCTCAGTTTGAGTCCCCTGTTTCTCATAATCTTGCATGAACTAATTAAACTTTTGGGGTCTCAGTGTTTTTTACATTAGAAGACTGGGATACGGATCTCAAGCATCCCTTTGCATCTTTGGAAGATCAATGCAGCATGGTTGCAAATCAGAGAGGCAAGGAAAGTCACGTCAGAGACTACCCTATCCCACCCCAGATTTTTCAAGGTAACAGGGCTTCTAATCAACTCTCCTTGGGACACCCTTACTGTGCTCCTGGCCAAAAACTGGCAGAAAAGCAGACCAAAGCCAAGCTGGCTAAAGATCTGTCAGAAGGATGGTACACAGAATGACCAGACTGTATGCCTCTAGCCTCTCCCATACAATACTATGAGGAGGAATGGAGTGAAATCATGTGTCAAGTAAATAGATAAGCAGAAAATTGTTTCTTCACTCAATGGTAATAATGATCTTTGCAATTGTTTTCCTTTTTATTTGAGAGGTGTGTCCAGTGTGGAAGGGAAGGAATGGGAAGAGAGAAACCTCCAGGCCTCTGGTTCACTTCTCAAATGGCTACAACAGCCAAAGTTGGGCCAGTCTGTTATCTGGGAGACTGGAACTCAATCTGGGTATGGTCAGTGGGCAGCAGGGACCCAGGTACTTGAGCTATGTCACCTGCTGCTTCCAAGATGAGCACTTGAAAGAAGCTGGAATTGTGGGTGGAGCCAGGTTCTCAAATTCAAGCACTTTATTACAAAATGCAGGTGTCCTGAGTAGTGTCTTAACCACAGTGTTAACACCCATCCTGGAAAATGTCATATACTCCAGCTGAACTACAATTTCTTGGGTACTCAAAACACACCTCCTTATCCTAAATGTCTCTTGCTACCAGTTGTTTCTCACTGATTCCTGAAGTATCAGCATTAGTGCTTTACTGGTCTTAATAGGACCTTTTTGCAATTAGATTTGGCAAATCCAGAATCTCTTTGAAAAGCAACGCATTGTCAGTCAGTAACATGAGTAGGAAGAGTGTTGGCACAGCCTTTTTTTCCCCCTTCAGAGCTCATGGTAAATTTTACCATGAAGTGTGTGGGCCTACACTACTTACTTCCATCCACCAATATCCCCTCCTGGCACTACATTCTTTCCTACTCTAGAACTCAAAGTCTTCACACTGGTTTCTCTCATCATGCTCTCTCATCAAACATCTCTCCACATGCTCAAATTTCCATTCTCATATTGAGAATGCTCTTGGATAATCAGAAAGTCATTTGGTATATCAGAAGACAAATCAGTTCCTGGAATAATGAGTTAAGTACAAACCTCCCCAGAGCTTCCAGGAATCCATTGGTCCTCAACTTCATGTAAAATCATTCCTTTTCTGCTGTTACCACATTTACTCTGACTCCTACTTCACTCTGATGGCTGAGCCTTATTCTAATGCTTCCCTGGTTCTCTGCCATTCTATAGATATTATAGCAACATTTGTGCAGACAGTGGAAACAGGAGATGCAAGTGAAGGTAGTGCCTCAGGAAAAGAAGTTAGGCTAACAAATAGACACATAAACACACTCAAAGACAAAACATAGGCAAAGTGCTCTATGTCATAGGTCTCAGAAACATAAGTACAAGGGAGGATGAAATGGGATAATGGCTGGGATAATGTTTTATTTTCACATAACATACTATTTGCCATCTATGAACCAGAAGGTAGGCCCACGCCACACACCAAATATGCCAGGACCTTGTTTTAGGCCTTCCCAGCCTCCA